TAATATTCACAGGACAATGAATTTTTGAGTAAGCGCTCACACTGACTTGTCACAGTTTTCCTTTTTTAAAAATCCAGCATGTTCCATTGTTTCTGGAATAGTTATAGTTTATTGAGATCTCTCCCTCCCCCCCTTCCCATTAATATTGTACCTCCTTTGACTCCTAAAAATCCCCTTTAAGAAGCTTCCTTAAGCAAAGAACAACATTGCACTTTCTTCTCATTCCTGTAGGACTTGCTTCATAACCGTCCCTATAATGTTCTTGGTCAAAGTGTTTCATAAATCTCATAATTTGGGAGACAGATGGAGTTGAAATTAATTATTTTTTTCCCCTGGATCTTCTTTTTACTTTCTGTAACATCAGGTTGTAGAAAAACTTACCAAAACAAACCTTGATTTGTTATAGGAGACCCCACGGATTATTTTTGAGTTTTTTCATGTCATTTGATCTGATTTTGTATTTCTGGTATTTCTTAAAAGAATCAAGGAGAAATAACAATTTTCTTGATTTATTTGGAAATAAAATTTATGCCATTGGAAATAACCACTTACTTGCCTCTTTTCCACAAAGATGTCTTACTGTTTTCTCTGGGTGAGTGTAGGCTAGTAGAAAACCTCACTACCTAGCATGTATTTGCTAAAAATGATGGAAGGTCCTGGAATTCTAGTGAGTAATTAGTGTCTAGTGAGCATCTTTAATGCATACATTTCTAGCATGGACAGTAGTCTCATAGTTGAGTAACATCTTAGTTTGCTATTGCTGTATAACAAATTACCACAAACATAGCTTAAAACAAAACACATTTATTACTTCATTACCTTATTACCAGTTAACATGGGTCAAGAGTCTGGGCATAGCTGAGGTGGTCTCTCACCTCAGGGTCTCACAAGGCTGCAATCAGCATTTCATCCAGGCTGCATTCCTTCCTGGAGCTCTGAGTTCTCTTGCAAACTCTTGTGAGTATTGGCAGAATTGAGTTCCTTTCAGCTTTAAGACTAGGGTGCCAGCTTTCTTAAAGCTGGCTGTCAGCCAGGGGCCTTGCTTAGCTCCCAGAGGTCCCTGCATTTCCTTGCCATGTGGCCCTCTCACAGGCCCCTTTACATCATGGCAGCTTACTTCTTCAAAGGCAGCAGGAGAATCTCTCTTACTTCTAGTCCCTCTTTAAAGGGTTCACCTGATTGGGTCAGGCCCACCCAGGATAATAACCTTTTACTTAATTCACAGTCACCTGATTAGGGACCTTAATTACATCTGCAAAAGTCCCTTCACCTTTGCAATACAACAACCTAATCACAAGAAGAACATCCGTCATATTCACAGGTACTGCCCACATTCAACTGGAGGAGATTATATAAAGTATGTACCCCATGGGCCAGGAGCCTTGGGGCCAACTTAGAATTCTGACTACCACAAATATTAATGATGACTGTAATGGAATCTTTGTGAGTACTATTTTTGGCCTGTGCTTTCAAGGTTTTCCTATTGGGCCTCTCACTTACAACTGCCTTCAGGGATCAGAGTCACTAAATGACTAGAATTTCATGTTTGCCTGTGTCCTTTGGACACTATTTGAAACAACTCAGGTCACTCAGGAAAATGGCAAAGTGGAGAGAAATTCAGAAAGTCTGATGGTTAGAAAACCAATGACAAGCCAAAATGCTTTTTGAAATCCATCTTCTAGGGGCACCTGGGTGGTTCAGTGGGTTAAAAGTTGGACTCTTGATTACGGCTCAGGTCATGGTCTCAGGGTTGTGAGATCAGAGTCTCGCTTTGGGGAACTGCTTAATATTCTGTCTCTCCCTCTAACCCCCATCCCCATACATGCTCTCTCTCTCTCACTCTCTTTCAAAAAATAACAAAAAAAAAGAAATCCATCTTTTATTTTCTTTACCACCATTGGGGTTTTTTTTAGAGCAGTCAATAGGACTGCTCTAAAAGTCAACAGTTTCAATGTCCCCTTGAAACACAGCATTCTGCTAAATTTCTGCTTCTTGTTCTATAAAATTCTTTATTTTTACATAGTGAAAAGAACTTTGAAGTAATATTTTGTTTGTTCCAGGAAAAGGGCAGCATTACTTTATAATCTTTTTTTTTAAATCTGATACTTCTGAAAAATACATTGAAATCAGTTTTGCTTTATTAAGAAAAAGCCAATTAGTCATTAATCTGTACAACCATGGCATAACAGTTGTGCATAGCTAATTGGTAAAAGAAGTTGTAACAAGAAGCTTACATTTAATCTAATGGGCAGAATCCAAATTTGATTTCAAAAATAAAAGTCAAGATTAATGTCCTCTCATTTTTAACATAAAGTAGTTTACTACCATTTTGAAATTTTATCCTGTCAATTAAGTTTATGAAGCAAATTAACCAAAACATACATTATGCATATGGAGAAAATATTAAAGTATATTATAAGGAAATGTGCTCAATACAAGTCTTTAAAAATTGAAAACACAAAGTAATTTTGAGATTCGTGACAGCCTTAGGGTTCATCTTACTTGACTGTGATAAATTTAGAAGATTATACATAGTTTGGCTTCTTTTTCTTGAGTACGAACAGTATTTCTTTTCTCTTTAACCCTTCAAGGAGGATTTGAGTTTTGCTGTTTTTGAATCTGTTTACCAACTTCATCATTCTTCATGTTCGTGATTGCCTGCATCTTACCTCTGTTCCCCTTTTTAAAGGATAAGTGTGAATGGTGGATTTAAATCACGTCACTCTCTCTGCCGTATTTAGAACGGCATGGGATGGAACTCATGAACTTTTCAAAGAAATGGTCCCTTTTCTGTGAGTCCAACCATTTGCTTTCTTTAATAAGGTTAGTTCAGATGCTGCATTTCGTCAGTGATTCCATTGTCTGAAAAAAATTCTGCCATCTTAAAACTTTTGACATTTTCATTTTCTGTTCTATTTCTGTTTCATGACACATAATTCAGGCATTTGACTGAGCTTAAATCAGTGGACTGGTTGGCAGCCTAAAAATGTGTTTTGCACAAGAGAGGTTTGAATGAATTGAGAGGTTTGTTTACATTTTGGTAACTTTTATTTCTTCCCTTTAATTTTTTAATTTGAAATCCCCTCTCTAATGTAGTTCTGTGATTATACCTTAGGCTAGGTTACTTGCAATGAATGTTGGTCCAAAACCCCAATCAATCCTAATGATGTTAGGATATTGGTATGGTGTGCCTTTGGTTACTGATTCAAAGAGCAGGGAAACACAGCTGACGTCGCTGAGTGACGTGCTTTTTCATTCAAATCACGTAGATATTGATCTGGAATGGATGGGATCTAGATTTGTCCACTTGGTGTGAAATCACACACCACTTTGTAATGTCCTCACTTGGTACCATGCAAATGTTCCTACCAGCTTGCAATTTGTTTCTTTCTTGGGGTCAAACTCCCAAGTTTTACTATGTCAGTAGGTAAAGCCACAGATAAAGCTGAGACCGTTAACACCTAGTTTAAATATCTTTTCAGGCCACTTGCTGTGTTCTAGACCCTTTGTTGGATATCCTGAAAATAGAAGGGGCAAAACACACTATCCTTATAGAATCTGTAGTCACACTCAAAGCCTGTGTTGTAGAACCTCATTGAAGGAAATCTGTGAACATAAATAATAAGGACATATTTAGATACAGGCCAAACTAAGTTTGGGAACAGGTCTATACCTATAAAGTGCTTGGCACGGTGCATAGGAGTTAGTAACTACTCACTAACAGGTACATGCTAATATCATTATTATTTTTATTACTTAGTTTTCCGGCTCACCCCAATAATTCTCTGGTCATAGAATACAACACATACAGACATACGTAAGTAAAGGAGATTTGATTCTTTTGACGTGCATACACACTAGTTTTGTGCTGCAAATTTAAGAGAGCCCAAATTTGTCCTGTGATGTGGAGACAAGGAGTCATTTCCTTTATTTTTATATCCAAGTTTTCATTGTTTTAATTGGCACCCTTCCAAACTGATAGATGCCTCCAGTTGTGTGTGTCAGCGTGGCTGCCGAGAACATTACAAACGCAGTAATTACAAGAGACGATTTTCCCATTATTTTCTTCCCAAAGCATTTTCTATCCTGGAAATGTTATGAAAACCTCAGAAACTATGGTAAAAATACTATTTTTAAAAACAAGTTTTTATTGTATTTTCTTAACATAAAAGTAATATGCATTTATCACAGGAAAAACAAGTAAGCAAAAAGAGGCAATGAAAACCACCCAAATCCAACACACAGAGAGAACCACCGTTACAGTTTATGTGCATTTCCTTCCAGTTCATTCTCTGTACAGAGACCTATATTTTTAAGTGGCATCCAGCACAACATCCTATTTTATAATCGCTTTCCGTGTCTTTATTCCATGTCATTAGTGGAATGAATGTCCTTATTCTCTGACAGGACTATTTGCATGGGTTCTATCCTATTTATTTAACCAGTTTCAACTGTTGGGCATTTAAGGATTTTTTTTTTTACTTTGATCTTTTCTTTCTTTTTTCTTTTATAAATAATTCATTGGATGAGCAACTGAGTTGTCATTGTTGAGGGTCTTTTTTTAATGTTAAAATAGCTAAATTATTTAAAATGTGGAGAAAGTGCTTTGGTGCTTCAGTAAGGTACCTGGCAAGATGAAATGGTTGCAGATGAGGTCTTCATGTGCCTTCGAGAGCCTCCTGTCTGAAGGCTCCCAGGGGCCATAGGCACATACAACTTGCAGGAAACACTGGGCAGGGGCCCTCCATAATTAGACAAGATCAATCATGCCAAAAGGGACTATGATTGAGTAGAATAAGTTGGAGTCAGTTCTAGTTGGACTTACCAAGGGACCATTTTGCTCCCTGTTGGTTCCCTGTGACAAATTCAAAGCGATTCAAAACAAATTTTGCTCTCACAGGTGGGTTTCTTTTTTTAATTCTTTCAGTTTTATCTTTTGGGCTGTACAAGCTGTCATGCCCTGAATTAAAGTGTGCTTATCACTCCATCCTTCTTGCCAGGAATGCCATCTCCAACCACCCTGAAGAAGTCGGAGAAGTCTGGTTTCAGCAGCCCCTCCCCTTCGCAGACCTCCTCCCTGGGAACTGCATTCACCCAGCACCACCGACCTGTCATCACAGGACCCAGAGGTGAGCCACTCCACAGGCACCCTTGCTTGTGCTTAGATCATGGCCTTGGGAGCAGCGTAACAAAAAGAGAGACATGGAGGCCTCTCCCAGAATGCTCCTAAAGGCAGTGAGCGCTCCAGTTTCTCATCCTTGGGGACAGCTTTGGCATCAAACCCTTGATCCTTACCTCAGGCCAGAAAAGGAACCAAACCTCTCATTCCCAGTGGGATGTTGCAAAGGGGTGGGAGGTAATTTGAACTGAACCCAAATCAAATCTGTCCTACAAGTTGGACAAGAGGAGTGTGTTTGTGTGTGTGTGTGTGTGTGTGTGTGTGTGTGTTAGGTGAGTATATTTTCCTGTAGTTAGTTACCTGTTTTCAAGTAAGAGCTGTTTTGCATTCTCTCATCCCTGCTGATTCCCTTTCCTTGAAACCTGATTGCAGTATGTGGCGTTTTGCATGGAGGTTGCTTGCATCACGGTGTTGACGAGCAGTCTTCACTCACTCCTTTTGAAGTGGTAGATAGTTTGTCTGGTTTTCATTGCAATGTTTTCATTATTTTTTGTCTCGTGTGCTTTTAAGTTTATTATTAAAATGTGTCCACAAGAAATATGATTTGTATTTCACATTAAAGACAAGCTTTAAACCTCAAGAGAATGTCAGCAAATCACTTAACTTGATCTTATTGCAAGATGAAAATATTTATTAGTTTGTTTATGAAACTCCCACAGTAGGAGTATGAATAATTGTAACCACGTTCACTTTCTTCCATCAGATTGTCGCTTAGGTAGGTCTGTGATCTACCGGCAACATCCTAGAAAGTTATGGTCTCTTGTCTACTTTGACATACGCCTGGGGAAACTGATATTTCTTGCATTAATCTCAGTGTTAGACTCAAAAATCTGAATCCCTTTATGAATACTGTGTGAGCATCTCAGGGAAAAATGGCAGTTGAGAGGGCCATCCAATGCACACATACAGAAATTACACTGAAGAAAATAAGTATTTGGACTCTTTTGTGAAGCGATTACTATATCCACAATTATGAAAACTTACTTGCTCCATCTTTTAAACATCTTGTGATCATTGACAGAATTTTCTCAAGATCCCTTACTACTTCACTTGTGTGGTGTGCGCGTGCGTGCGTGTGTGTGTGTGTGTGTTAGTGTTATAATCAGAAAGGCAACTTATATATTTTTTTCTAACTTGAAAACCTTGCATCCAAATTGGATCATACAGTCCCAGGATGAGTCTCTTTTTCAGTGGGGTAGCATTATGATATTATCCTCAGAGTCAGCATTCATTAAGCATCTAAACTGTGGTGGAAAATAAAAGATATGAAGTCCTTTTAGTCAGAAGATTTTCAGTCTCGAGGAGATAAGGCATGTGATGTTTCTATGGTTAGGTTAATGTTTTAAATGCTAAATGAATGTTAAAAGTAGAAATTTCTGAGGGAACTCAGAGGAGGGGACGATGGAGTTTCATTCGTTCATTAAACGACAATTTACTGAGTGCCTGTCGCTGGGAATTGAGTGGTTCCTTTCCTCTTCAAGCATACAGTGTAGGGCAGAAGAGAGATGCAAGAAAATAAGCATTCAGAAGATGATGTGGAATGTGCTATTACCATTTTTTATCAAATAAAGAGACTTCAAAGTTTAGATAGCACTGAGGTCAAATCTTAAGAAGTCGCTTACATGAATAGAGGCCGTTCCAAGCAGAAGAAAGATTCACAGTGGAGCCAAGTAATCAGGATTGGGAAGAACAGGATGCTAGCAATCAGGATAGCTGGGTAAGCTACCTCTTTGCCTTTCCACTTATCTTGTGGATTTTTTTTAATGTCCTCATCAATAAAATGGGACAGTACTATTGTTGAATGAACTTTTCCTCCCAGCGTCCTATTCTTACATAGAGACATGATAAAAAAATATATATATTTGTAGAGACTCTTTGAGGAGCATAAAGCAATGTGCATATATTATCATTTATTCAATAAATATTGAGTGCCTTCTATGAGTCTTGTCTTAAAACCATAGTTCTACACATTATAATAACAATTCTAGCATTTACCCTTGAGGGCCAACATTGGGAGCTTCTTCATGCTAGATACTTAAACACATTTGCTAAAATGACCCACGCTGGGTTGAACCAGAGTGGACCTCCTTAGCCTTCAGAACAATGAGCTTTGATCTCCTATTCATACCATGAAAAAAATGTTTATGAGGAAAAGAGAAAGATGCCTAGTTTAAGAATTATGGAATACCAAAGATTCTTTGTTTTCACCAGAATTCAAGATGGTTCCCAGCATCCTCGGTTCTCCTTTCTGGAAAATCTACTCAGGTACCCATTCTTATTGCACCCTGCCCCCCCCTTAGTGGTCTGGTAAGGGGATTTGGAGTAATTTAGATGAAACTCTTCATTGGCGTCTTTGTGGCAAGAATCATAGAGTGGAGATGGGCTAACACGAGACATTTTGGGGCTAAGATATACTTTTTAAGGTTGATATTGAGCCTCTTGGTATCTAAGAAATATTTGCTGCAGGCGCCATATTGCCCTTTATTCTTCTCTGAACAAGATGGAAAGCTAATGGTTGGAATGAAATCACAGGATTAAGAGTTGATGTTTTAGGAAGATGAGGCCAAAGTGAAGGAGAGAGAGTCTGACTGAATGAGCCAGTGTGTAAATGTGATGTGGACCTAAAGGAGACTTCAACCTCAATGTTCCTTTTATTGTAAAGAGTTGCCATAACCCAAATCAGTAAATCATTAGAGAATCCAGACAGACAGTCGAACTTCAAAGGGCCTGGAAGAAGAGAAAGGTGTGTCCTTTATCAGGGTCCTGGGGCACAGGGACAGGGGAAGCTGTTTACTACACCGTTGCTCAGAATTACATGGCATATTCACCTCTCCATAGTACCCCGATTGCAAGGCTTCTGTTGCCTCCTTTGGGGAGGGTATGTGCTATGGTGAGTGCTGTGAATTGTGTAAGACTGATGAATCACAGACCTGTACCTCTGAAACAAATAATACATTATATGTTAAAAAAAAAAAGAAGAAGAAGATAGTAGGAAGGGAAAAATGAAGGGAGGGAAATCGGAGGGGGAGACGAACCATGAGAGACTATGGACTCTGAGAAACAGACAGAGGGTTCTAGAGGGGAGGGGGTGGGGGGATGGGTTAGCCCGGTGATGGGTATTAAGGAGGGCACGTATTGAATGGAGCACTGGGTGTTATACGCAAACAATGAATCATGGAACACTACATCAAAAACTAATGATGTAATGTATGGTGATTAACATAACATAATAAAATAAAATTTAAGAAATTTTTCTTAAAATTTCTCATGGGAATACCTTGACCAGACAAACACCATTTGTAAGCAATAACTGTGTAATATATCTCAGTGCCCAGGCCAGAGGTGATATTTTAACACTTTGCTGTAGAGCAAAGCATGGTCACCTCGCTAAAAAAAAATGGCCCTATTTTTTACTACAAACATAAGCCATATTTGGAAATATGGTGGACACTTGTTACAAAGGAAACCTCTCTTTGAAATTGCAAAGCAAATGCAAAAAAAAAAAAAAAATAGGGCCTTGAAGGGAGGCAGCATTTCACAGTGGGTAAGCATAAAAGCTCAGGGGTCAAACAGACCAGTGTTGGAACCCTGTCTCCACCACTGTTACCAGCTGTGTGGACCTCGTACATTGCTTTACTTCTCTGAGTCATAGGTTCCTCATCTATAAATTGGAGATCATAATCTTTACCTCAAGAGAATCGTATTATCTAAGGAGGAACTGAAATCATGTATTTACGGTTGTTTGCATAGTGCCTGGAAATACAGTATGTACTCAAATCATGCAAACAAGTAAATCACCCATTTTTACCCAGGCTTTGCAAATTTCATGCTGTCCCTACTACTACTTTCACCTATCAACATTTTGCCTATTCCAAGACCAGCTCAAATATGATTTTCTACACAAAGACCCCCTAGCTCCACACAGGCTGCCATCACCTCACGCTCCTTAAAGTCCCATAGCCTTTCACGCCCAGCACCTTGCTTTGCTAGTTAATGTATGTGTCTTGTTGCTCTCCTAGAATGGAACCTTTGAAAGGGAGGATCTATGACTTAGACTTTTTGTTATCTTCATTGTGTCTCATGCAATGAATTTTATGCTCAAATATTGGTTGAATAAATAAAAAGTACTCACATTGTACATCAATGTACACAGAAAGCATTCATCCCCTCCCTGACACTGATAAAATCATATTGCTTCAGAAGAACTAAAGAGTGATAAATGTATAATAGTTTAGGCAGGACTTCTTTATAAGGAATTGTCCAGGATGGGGAAGAACGATGGCCTTCCCACTAAAGAAAGCTTTTGTAAGATTATATGAATAATACTTTCATATAAAAGTTATGGTTTTTCTTAGTTTCTGCTATTCTGATCACTTCTCTGTGTACATGATGAAGGTAGAGACGTGTGGTTTCTTAAAACAAATCCGCCTCTGATATTGGCTTTCTTCGTGGTTTTGATAAGTCACTTAACCCCGTGGCCTCAGTTTGGCCATCTGTACCATGGGGACCATCCTTGGCCACCTATGTAGTTAAAATTAGGTAAAGGAGTGAAAGCCTTTTGGAATATCCTGGGGAGTGGGGAAGACATTAAGTTTCCATAAAAGCATTTGTATGTCATTATACATTATTACAATTACTATGCACTTTAAGCTGAAAGATTGGGCTTTCAAAGACTTTCTTTTATCAGCACTTAATTTCAACCATAAGAAAGTATTTAATCATGACAGTTTATTTTATTCACGATAACTGAAAAAAATCTTTGTTCTTCCCTTTGCTTTTTTAAGAGTTATAAGTTTGATAATTTAAAGGGTCTAACTCCTTTTATTGGAATTATTTGGAACAATCGGTGATATTTTAGAGTCTCTTGAAAGTTTGTCTTCTTGAAATTTAGATGTCTGCCTAAAATCTTTGCTATTTTCAAAAACAAGATAATGAATTATACTTAATATA